GAATTTTATAGAACACAGAACAGCAAGGGCACACTGTTGGAATTTCTTAATTGCAGCCAATGTCAGCAGATGATACTATTGGTACTAGAAATCTGTCTTTAAGCTGATCTTGGAGTTAGAAGCTGTACCCAAGCCTTAGATCCAATGTTATAGCCATTGAGGTAAGCATTGCTGTCTGGCACCCAACTGTGAAAGCTGGACAGCATCCCCAGCCCCGCCCCTGTTGTTGGGCATTTCAGACACTGCTGCTCCTTGCATATACTCAAGGCTGCTCCAAGAATGCTGAAGTTCTCCTCCCTTGCATCCTTACAATGCTAACAGATCCGTTTGTTTATCATTTTATTCAGTTATATAATCAGCACATAAAACAATCATGCTGGATTTTACAACGCCCCAGAGAAACTGCAAAGCTAGAGGCCATTTCCTGACATCCAAGAGGTAAAAGCATCAAATAAAGCTACACGTCTCAAGAAAACTTTAAAAGGTTGTTGCAAGCCGTGACAAGACGCTGAGCAGCTGGATCACAGCAATCACAAGGTAGAAACAACTCCCTCTGCAAAAACATGCTTGACATTCCCTCAGCCTGGAATTTTTCTCATCCAGTATCATCACAGTCCTATTTCCCTTCCTCGTCTGTTGTCATGGGTCACTTTCAGTGGAGAAAACCTCAAAACTTGAAGATGCGGCATTTTACTTCTTTTCCTTAGTTGCGCGTCATTTCTCCTTGCCAGCTTTGCAGTCACAGAATTGCAATACTACAAGGGCAAGTATCTGCTGTCACACATGCAGTGTTACTGCTCATGTGGATTTCTTCCCAGCGGCTGGGAGGAAATGTTGTTCTTGTTTAGACAAAACTATCAAATGGTTAGGAAATAAGGAGTTAGGAAAAGCTGTATACAAGGCTCATGCTTGAGAAATACAAGGGTACAGAAGACTTAGCCCCTAAGAAAATTCCACTGGACGTTCAGTTACAATAATTTAGATCTGTTCATTTATGGTAAGTCAGCCATTTTACTGTTGACCTACTTTGTATCAGCAATAATTTGTCACAGTGCATTCTCCAACTGCTACTGAAAGAAAGGTTGAAACCATACATTAAGAGCACAGTGTCAAAGCAACTGATGTTAATTACACCCTGCAATTCCTATGTTGATGAAATTGTCACTGCTAACTATTAATACAGCATTTACTGTCTAAGCCCAGCTTGCTCTACCAACCCTTGAAAGCCACTGAATTAACATCCTGCTTCACAATGTTCACTTTATGCCACATTGGAATGTAAATCTGAAACATGTAAAAATAACCTCTGCTATTACACCAAGAATGTGTAAATATACATTCCTTTTTAGGAGAGCTATTTATCTCCAGTCTATACATATTTCACTCTTTAAACTAAAAACAGCTTTAATGTTCTTCAGTCAAGTGGCAGCTTTTGCCAATATAAACTATTTTCCCTAAAAATTATGGCATCAAGTAGAGGAAACTTTGGAAAATGTAGAGTGCTACTTGATTTATGGAAATTCAGAAATAAGCTTTACATAGATACACAAAAGAGAAAAGCAGCAATGTTCTTCATTTTATTCATTGCTAACCTGCACAATAACAAGAGATCATATTCTCCCAGCATAAGTAAGCAAGGTTAATTAGAAGGACACCTTATGCAGATTTAGTGCTCATGTTCAGTGACATCTGCTTAATTTGGTGACAGAAATGTTTACAAGCATCAGCATGAACCAACCACTCCAGGAGCATTAACTGGATTCTTTATGGTTTGCACATCAGTAAACTGTTTTGGAAGGTCCTACTGCTGCGGTACAGTTCCCCCTGCTTCTAAATCATTTCTCAAGCTACTCTTTTACCCATTTAAACTGAAGGCAGTCAAGAGCATACAGGCTTAACAGTATTTAGCCTTCAGAATTGTCATCACTAGCTATGATAGGAGACAGCACAACTCGTTCTTCTGATCCAAGACGACTCTTTTTAGTGATGAATAGGAGAGACTTTTTTATCCTATGAACTGATTCAATACAAGATACAATGAAAGCAGAAGCTGGTGATGGTATTTTCACATCAGAAGAGTGCCTGATGGAGGTTATTTCCAAATTCTCATGTAGACTGACAGAAAAAAACAATAATAAGAAAATCCCACAGTGCGATGAGGCCTGTCATACAGATCTACCAGAAAATCTTTGCAGAGTCAGCAGAAAAGTAGAAAACTAAAATCAGCATTATTAGTAATTGAATGAAAGCCCTCACATCTCTATTCAGAAACTAAGAATGACCCTAAGAGCTACAGGAGGGAAAAGATCATGGTCCAAATGACTGCTGAAGCCAGATGTACATCTCCAGAATAAGCAGGAAAAAAAACACCCAACTGCAAAGAGAACAGAAGAACAGAGACTCGTACAGGATACATATAATACAACCCTATATAGGAGCATTGTTACCGAACACAAAGTACAAAAGTAAATTCGAGTGCATAGGATCTGATAGCACACATAGCACAGTGGGCGAACATGCTGTGAGAAAAGGAAACATTTGCTCACCTGGCATAAACTAGAAGGCAATTGTACACTTTATAAAGACATTCACTGAATTGTCAACAAGCCTTAGCAGAGTGGTCCGTCAGTTTAAGAAGAGCTGTAACATTAAAGCTGCATACAGTTGAGCCTTCCCTCAGAACACCAACAGAACAACAGGATTATTCAGCGCTTCACAAGGAAAGTCCAACTAATTTAACTAACATGCACTGGGCAAGCAGGTCTTGAATGTGCTCTCTCATCTCTAATATTTGCATTAAAATAAGAGCCTTGCTGGTTTTGTAATGGCACCTTAAATGAAATTCAAAAGTGACAAGCATTTAGCTTAGTGAACTGTTTGTTCTACCTGCACCAAAACATAGGATTGGCAACAGCCTTCTCTAACAGACATACTCCATTTCTCTCATGAGTCCTTCCTGTGCCCTGCTGCCACAGTACGCCAAGTACTTTCAAAATCAGACAAGGGCACATTGTGCGCACGTTGGGGTATATTTAAATTCCAGCTGGAAGAAATCCCAACAACTCTGAGGATACAGGTTGTACCAATTACTAGTTACAGCTGCAGTTAAAAATTATGCCATGAATGAAAGCACCCTACCATAAAAGGACTAAAATGTTAACCATCTAAGGGAGTACGTTCATTCTTGGTTCAGTGTCCCATGCCAGCCTCACAGATGGAATACTTGCTGCCTCACAAAGCTATGCTTAACTTATCAGAAAGAAAGTACCAACAGCTGACGGTTTCATAATTTGCATAGCTCATGTCAAAGACCAACTATAAAGTTACCCTGTCTGATGCTGCTCTTACTGTGCAGCAGAAAAGACTATAGGCAGCACCACGATACACCAACCACAGCTCAGTCAGCAGTGAGCTTCATGAAAGTTTAATATAGCTTTACAGGAAGCCAAACTCAATGTTTTTCTTTCTATTTGCATATACTTATGCTGTCTGTGGACATGTAACACAACAGAAATATCTTTGAGTACTCCTGTTGCTTGAATAAATCTCTTGCTTACAGACTTAACTTGAAAGCATCATCTTAAAAGTAGTGTAATTTTTAAGGTATCAAAATGTGAACCTAAACTTTGACTCTACGCATGAGTAACACCTGTACTTTAAAGCAAGCTCATTCTGAAGCTTTGGTAATAGACCTATTATTGCCAGATACTGAGTAAGCTCTTTAAAGTTCACCGCTTCAGGAGCACTTAGGATTCTACCAGTCTATGCCAGAAAGCCATAGTACTGGAGAAGCCTGAGCAATACTTCAAAGTACTGAATGTTGGCATACATATGCAGATCATGGTAAAAATAATATCTGTAAAGCTGAACTTCCAAAAACACAGTGGGAAAGAAATTGATAGAAAAAAGCTAGACAGGTCAGTCTTATGTTTTGCTTATATATAATCAGTTGTATTACAGATCAGAAGACAGACTGGAACTGGAGATACAACACACTACTATCGCCACATTGTAAAGGCTCATAGTTGAGCATGAGCTGCCACAATGCATGGCAAGCTTGAAGCTCAGTTCTAGCCATAGCTAGCAACTTTAGCTGGCAAGTAATGACTGTTTTTTTTTCTTCAGAGCAACAGCAGTTCTCATAACTGAAGTGACCAAGTTGGGTAGGCCTTTTATTAAACACTCACAGAACAAAGTACACAGGAGAAAAGGAACAGAAAGTTCTTGAGTTTTACTCCAGCACTTTAACAAGTGTAAATAAAGTAGCAAGGAATTTCTCTCAAGTGTAACTAACCACTGTGCTGTATACAAATGACATTAGTGTGGTGCTTAAGTGAATCACATCTCCACATCATTCATTAACTTTGAATATACATATAACTATGGGCTTCTCACTTTGCCTCAACCAACCTTTTAAGTTTGGGAAAAAAAAATCTACATACCTTTTGTTGAATTCCATCTTAATGATTTCTAAAGTGAAAGTCTTGCATCTGAAGAAAGCAAAAGGCGAGCAACCTTTCTGTAGAGTGGTTAACCTGCTCTTAAGGCTAAGGGACACTTGTCCCAGAAACTCTTATTGAGCAGGGAATCCATCAGGGAAGAACTGAGAACTTGTGAGCAAGTAGGTCAAAATGGACATTTAGGTTTGCTATATCCTTCATCAGGAAGCCAAGTAAACTTTAATCCTCTGGATTTATTCAAGTCATCTTTGGTGGATGTTATTTCTGTACCTTTTCCTCATATCCTGGAATTATTGGCCCTGGAGTTATTTCCACATTGACTGATTTTTAAAAGGTTTAAAGTGACATGTACATCATTGTGTTTCCCTAAACTTCCCATGCATTTATATACGAGGTCTTCATTAATCCATGTCTGCACCAAGTGTTCCCTAGCATCAGGGTGCCATTGATCTTCTTAAGCCTTTATAGTACCTATTTCATCTCTACTGTGAGACAAAAAAATAGTTTAACTGATCCTATGTAATCACGACAAGAGATTAATTAAAATGCCAAGATAGGAAACAATTTATTATAGAGAGAAGAAAAATTTCTCATTGAAAATATAGAAATCTGTACAACTTTGCCACAATCAATATACATGAACTGTACAAATTTACACCAGTTCATAATTTACCAAATAAAAGATGACTAACAAAGTTCACAAAATAGATGGTGGTTTGTGGAAAAGACTTTTACCCAATTAAGAACAAGGAAATTACAAACCAGACCTCCACTTTCTAAAAATAAGAAGTTTACTCAATCTTAGAAAACTACAAGCTAGCAAATGTACAGATAGCTGGCTGGTGCTAACACCACAGTTCAGACAGTGTCTTTATATGGTCTTTTTAAAGCCTGTTGCCATGGCATTCGTATCACTTAATACTTTTGAGGCCAGTGTAAAGATCTGACCATTTCCCCAGGTCATACTTACAGTTTCTTATGTACATTTATACATATTTGTAAGTGCTAGGTAAAAGTCTGAAAAATAAAATTTCCAGTACTATCATGTTCATAACAATAAGTCTTGTTACTGAGCTGCCAAAAATGCTAATAATTCATAAATGTAATAGTGCAAATTTACTCTGCAAGACCTACTGCAGAGAATCACTTTATAAATACAGATTGGCATTGAAAATTGGTGTAGAAATTAAGTAACATGTCTTGGAGAAACTGACCCTTCCTAGATCTTCTTCACTCCCTAGCAAGTTGCAATCATTTTGACTCACAGGCTATTAAATCACTGAAAGGTACTGTCCAAACTATGGCACTGTCACTTTAAAGTATACCACGCTAACGTGTGCCAGATCTTCACAGCTGTGACATGGTTTAAATTCCATAATCCATCCCCAGAGGTGCCCACCCAAAGTAAAAACCAAATTTATCCATCCATTTTAAGGTGATCCATCCACAGACTATATCTTAACCTGATACAGTCATCATATTGTAGCTTTTGGAAGGGCTAGTTCTGCCCAAGAGAAGTTCCTCCTTGCAGCTTATTCTGCTGTCTACCATTTGCATGTTGGTGTTATTTTGGCTACCTCCTGCTGGTGCAGCTTCATACAGCACACAGATTGAGCCATCTTCTCCAATACGATAGGACACTTCATACGGGTCAACCCATAGAGTGAGTTCGCTTGGAAGAAGCCGGAACAGTTCCTGACTGCTCAATCCAATCCGCTGTGCTGCCTGTCCAATGAGAGGATCCATTTTATGGTTGATCCGGATACATCGGTAACCTGATCCCTTGCATGGCTTTTCTGGGAACCAGTGGTGTTTATAATGTTCTATAAAATAAAAAAAAAAGATTATCCTCCTTAAGTCTGTATTCAATAAGATGAGTGAACATTGCTCTCTCCAAATTTCACAGCTCGGGATGTTGAGACACTTACTACTTTAGAATAAGTGACCTGAAGCATCATTAAAGCCTTTCTTTTTGTTGATTATTTGCATAAGTGCAGTGTCCCTTGGGAAGTACTCAAGTACTAAGTTACTGTTTCATGCTAACATAGACAGAGAACAATGTTTGCCATCTGAAGGGGTGAAACACAACTTCCTGGCATTCGTAGAAACAAATATTTAAAAAGTGATTACATACATAGCAGGAAAACGCAAGGGCTTCAAAACTACAGGAACCAAGAAGGCAAAAAAGCACCTTTCCAGCATCCTCTTGAGATCACACCCATGCTTAGTGCCTCACACTCTAAGAACACCCAAAAATAACTAGCGAAGGAGTTGGGCAGCATTTACCGACTGACTCAAGCTGTATTTCACCACTGCTCTTCCCAGCCTGTTTTCCAGGGCGAGATACCAATGACTTCACTTACCTTAGGAGTCTTAGCCCACCCAAAACCCTATCGGTCTGAGGCTACTTCTAGCCACTATCAAGCACACTGGGACACAGGCTCGGGATTACAAAACCCACAGGGCAGCGAAGAAACCCTCGGCATTTGATCCTAACCGACATTGTCGGGTGGCTACGAGATGTTTCCAGAAGAAAGGGAAACTGAGACTCATCGTCTACCGCTGAATTTGACTTGACAAAAAAAGCCACTTCGCAGCAGATTTCCTTCTGGAAACCGGGCGGCTGGAGCCCTTGGAGCGGAGCCCAAGTCCGGGGTGCTCCGAAAGCTTTGTCTACGGAGCCAAGGGGGGGCTGCCTGCGCGACGCCCG